TTTCTAATTTTACATACATGTAGATCGTATTTCGATTAAGATGCTGTTAAAATTTAAAAAAGATTCTAAATAAAAATTAACTTATGGACCAACTACCTTAAATCGCGTGATTTGCTCACCGAGAAAATAACTATAATTCCTCTCTGTCTAATAATAACATAATACAATAATAAATAATAAATATATGCAAGAGAATTATCCTTGTCTCGTGTTGTCCAGAGGAAAAGGACTTATTTAAATTTCGCAAAGGTTGTGGCTTAATCTATCGATACACGTCATCGTCACATGCATTTTTCAGGAGCAAACGCGTCGTCATGGATAGACTTGTTCGCTCGACGCGTAGCTATATTCGAGTATGTCCGGGGATAAGCTGCTTATAGAATATAGAAGTGAGGAGTGTCTCCACGATTGGAACACCGTTTGCAAGATTAACTCTCCCGGTGTCTTACGTCCTCTGATTAAGTACTGTTCGCTTGATTTCTTTATCTAAACTCGATTGTATTCTGCGCGCGTCATCCATTCAGTTAACATCAAGACCCATTCGGAGCGTTTCAACAAACGAAACTTTATCATCGATTCCTGCGAAATTTTAATCCAACGTATCTTCTCTCGCGAGGACACTCAACATTGATTCTGCGATCAACGAAATCGGAAATTGAACCGATACCAAAAAATGTTGTCAAGTTCGTATCTTCACGCGCTTCGTGTTTGTGTGTGTGTGAGAAGTAGGAGCGGATTTCGGGGACGCGATCTTTGTTTAAACGACGTTCGTTATATATGTCAAAGCGTATCGCCCGGCGTCGTTTCATGATCTCTTCGGTGGGGCTTTTACGCGGCGAAAGCTCAGAAAGCGAAGCTGCAAATCCGCGTGGGAGACGCTCGCGGCGTGACGGCCGCAATCGCCGCACCTCCACGAACGCCACCCCGGTAGGTTTGCATATTTATGACTGTTTATAATGTATAATTGACGGGAATCCGCGTGCCACATCGTGTGCCGCGCGAAGCCACCGGGCCAGAAGCTACACTGCCTTCCGCGAGCCTCCGAATCAGATTAGCGGCTTTGCATTTCGGTCCGACCTCGGTCGCACCCGCCGCTACCGTCCATCTCTTCTACCCTACTCTCTCTCTTTTTCCTTATCCGCTATACATATATTTATATATATGCTGTTAAAGTCGTATGTATCGTTCGGAAATAATTCTGCAAATTGCGTCGCGGATTTGCCTTTGCAATCGGTCGGCCCGTGTTCGCATTTATTACCTTAGATATTAAATAAGTATTGACACGCTGAAAGAGTGAGAGAGAGAGAGAGAGAGAGTAAATTAAAGGCCAGATTTCTGCCGTAGATTTTAAAATCATTTTATTTTATTACGTTTACATGGATAGTTTACGTTTTGTCTACAAGATGCTTGCACAGACTTTTTTCATGTGTAGATAATGTAAGCTATTTAAAATATTATAAATTGTACATTACAGTATAAAGAGGAAGAATAAATTATTGGTCGAAATTTTAATGTAAACTATAAAATAGTTCAAGTATCCGATTTTGGTGTCAATTGTGAAGATATTTAATATTAAAAATTAAAAAGTTGATATATTTACATGCAAATATAAGACAGAAATGTTATCATTTAAATTCATCAGTGAGCTTTTAATCTGGAAAAAAACAATATTCCTTAATTCGTAATTACGTGATAAACACAATATGCATGATATTTATTTTTCATTTTTAGCAGTGTGAAATTAAATTCGCCAAACCTGCTATTAATTTTTCATGGCATCATAAAATATTAAAATTGTGCCGTTACGTTTAAACTAAATAATATTACCAATCTTTGATAGATTATCTTAAATTAAGTTAGATATAATCCATTATATGCACATTAAAATATCTGTATAGTGATAACAAATATATACATATTGTTAATATATATGTTGTTATTTAAGTTTATACCTGTGAACTTTTAACAGAAACAAAAAAATAAAAATAAGACTTATAAAATATAAAAAGAAGATAAGCCATTCCATAATGGGATTCATAGACTGTGAAATTTTTGCCACATAGATGACATATTATATATAGCTTACACTGTCTACGCGTAGACAAGATTATTGTATTTTACATGGAAACGCCTAATTCTGGGGTTAAAAATTAGGGGTTAAAGATATTTGTCATAATTTTCCAACGAAGGTAACAAAATACTCTCAGAGGCATACGTTTCTTTTATTTTAGCTATTTTGCAAAATATCCAAAGTTCGTTGCAATCAATGAAAAAGATATATTTTCAGATCTCTTCTTGTGGGTGTTATTTCTCATTTTAAACATGACTGACTCACATCGTGTGACACGTGCGCTTAACGCGCTTGCGAGCCAACTGTAACTACATAGTAGAAGCGAGCAACACCAGCGGTGGTGTCTCACAACACTAGTCCTTCGTTTGCTGGCGGTCGTATAATAACCGTTTTAATCAGCGGTTTTAAACCAGCGAGTTCTCATTGACGTTTTATCGCGGTTGATTATTCCCGACACGCGAGCCTCTCGTGTCGGACAAACGAGCTGGATAAACTTTTTACTGCCGTGGCGAAAGCTTACCTACCTCTTGCGCAACTCAAACCCGAACATAATCCGGCATAGTTTGTAAATTTAGCCGGGACGGCTTTTATTTGTCTCCTGCGGTTCCGTTTGCTTTCTCCGCCACGGGAAATATAATAATTTAGGAATATTTCGGCATGCTCGTACGAAAAGAATGTCAAATTAGCATGTTAGAATTTTAATCTCTCGCTTATTAAAACGGATATTATTATCTTTCCTTTAATCGTGTGAAGCAACACAGATTAAAGAAAGTTGGCATGTAAAACATTAAGAAAAATATAATTTTTGCTGCGGAATTTATTACAACGTATGTAATAAATTTCGATATGTACCGTTGGAATTTCAGATATTCGAATACAATTAATGCATAATGCCGCTAAATCATAAAAACGTCGGCATCTTTTACATGCAAACCTGACCTTAAAGTATTATATATAGTCGTACTGAATTGAATTTACAAGAGAAATACGAATGAGACTTTTTATATTTCTATTTTCTAATTAGAATGATTCCGGTTGGATTGTTTGTATTACGACAAATTATACAGAGAGAAAAATTTCTCTGGATTTAATAAAATTTCTTTAATTAATACAAATTTGTCTTTTGGAATGGAGCAAACAAACAAATATTTGATTCAACCAATAGGATTGTTTAGTTTCTCCAATAATAAATATCTTTACATTAAATAACATTAAATAACATGTATTTCTTTTACATTTTCANAATTGTTTGAAAGAAGTAGCACTATGTTAGAAAAATATTAAAAAATTTCTTTGTTTCCGTGGAATAATATTTAATATATAATGGAATACATTTTTCTGTTATCGAATACCAAATATTATTCTTCTAAATAATACTGATTTTCGAAACAAACAACATGATTTACTATAATGAAACAACAACGTTTCCATTCAAATAAAATGATATTTGATTTCAATTGTTTTTATTAAACAAACTTAAGTCAAACAAAAATGTGTAGTGCATTCAAAAAATCTTTTTCTTTGTGTACTGAAATAAAATATATAAAATATTGACAATTTTTATTGAAAAACAAAGCAACTACTGTCCGATATATTTTTCATTAGTAATATTCATGATTTATTCAAAGAAATTATCTCGTGCATTGCAATAATCTTATCGCAAAGTCGTGTTATTTTAAGTTTTTCAATATAGAATTGTATTCTCTATTAGAAAGCTGTTTTCTTATTAAATATCGTATGTCGTATTATCGGACACTGTGAATTTTCCATAATATATCAAGATATGTGAAAAATGCGATAATTGCTGCAATTTTGAAAGAAGATTCCCTTAATCTTCCAGCAATATTTTAATGTAAAGTTATATATTGTAAGGTTGCTAAAATATTGACATAAGATTCCATTAACTTTCCAACAATATTGTAATATAAGATTATATTGCAAGTTTAATGGTATATACCAGTAACTTTCTCATTAAATTATGTAAGGTTGTAACCTCCTATGTAACTTTAATGCAATGTCCGGTGCTGTGAGGGCAAATATTCCGTCTGAAATATCACTCGAGAAATAATGTGCGAAACTCGGCACTTCGGTGAAAGTAATAGAATTCGTGAATGCGTGTTAGTTACAGTTGTCTACACGATGATTGCTCAGAGAACATTAAGAAAGTGTTTACATGTATTTCTGAGTATTCCGGCAATTGTTGACAATTTTAAATGTAATTAAAGATATAACCAGCTACAAATTTCTGTTACCAAATTCAATATCGTGAGTAAATTTTAAATGATATGATAGGGGGTATACGGTGTCATATTATTATAAAGATTCATCATTATATTAAGTATATCAGAGATCAGTTGTGATGTAGAGTTTTCATATGTTTTACTGTAAAATAATCTTATGTAACTTTTAATTTTTTTACAAATAAAATAAAATTTTTACGTTGCTTCACTTTTAAAAGATACAAAATAATAAATAGTTAAATATATTCTTCACATACTTAAACGATCTTAGCTCCGTATCGTGACCTGTTAAAAATTGCAATAACTTTAGAGAAATTTCTGAAATATAATGTATGAATTGTAAAAACAACCATCAACCACTGAAAGTATGCCAATAATAATTAACTTTGTGGTAAAAAACAATACAACTGCTATTAAATATTGTCTTTATTGCAAATATATCTATCTAATTTAGACACATAAGAACTAACTTAATAATAATAATAATGTTTATATATTTATATATATTGTAGGAATAATAATATATATATAATTATTCTATTATGATAATATGTCATAATATTAAAAATAATATAATTTACATTATTATTATTATAGTAATTATTACATAAATGATACTAATAATTTATATGTTATTTTATTTTTAACAATGCTATTGAGGTGTTACAATAATTGTTACAAAGATGTTATCATAGACGGGATTTAACATTTCTTAATTTTTCAAGCATACCATTCCCCTCTTTTTTATCTTTTTGCTCGCCTGGATCATGTAAGTTCTTGTAATAAATGAGCCAAACATTACGATAAAACACAAAATCAGTATCAAAGTTTCTATATGGTCTAAAAGCTCTGAATATATTTTCGATACTAAAAATAGGTTTTACCGCTGTACTCAAAATATCTTGTATCCTATGCGAATCTTCTCTCGCTTTATCTGCATCACGCATAGTTAGGAATAACGGGCAATTTTGAGTCTTTAATGCTAATAAAGATTCGTCCCATGTTGCTCTATTATCAAGAGTCGCATTAAGGTTTGCTTGAAATCCTATAATCACATCTGGCCGATGATGTAACTGACAGGACATATATTTGTGGTAGGGCAAGGAATGGCATTCGTAGTAAAAAACCTGTCCACGTGCGTTGCAAGCTTTACATATGCCATGTTGAACGCAAGTGAACGATAATTCCGGTCCTATCAATATAACAGTTATTCTTTTTATATTATGCGAGAGATGCAACAACAATTCCCAAGCTGACAGGCCGTCTCTGTCCACAGCGTTTGCGGCTATAACATGGACGATGAAATTGCTCTTCACAAGTAGATGCATTAAGTTTGCCATCTGTATCCCGTAATAGAGTGTCAACGGTCCCGATATATAATCGCTAAAGATGAAATCTGAATTAGTCCACAGCTTATGCATCCCCCATGTTTTTCTCTCGCATGGCACGTATCCCAAAATAAATGAAACAGTGTCGAAGCATGGTATGGCGGGATCAGGAAAGTTAGGAGCAATGACCCGATTTGATATAGTTGCGGAGGGCTCCATAGTTACGATATCCAAGTTGAGCATCAGCAATAGCTCTTTGCAGTTAGCGTCGTGGTGCAGTTGCCGAAATACCGCAGCGTGTTCATCACAGTAGCAGCTGCCGTAGCATTTTGTGCAGTGTTGTAGTCCGTCCCGTCTGTGACAAATAAAACATGACTTTCGGCACATGAGCATCTGTTCCTCGTCCGGCTGCAGTTTACGCTTCAAACTCGACCTGACGAGCTCCATCAACTTTCTCTTCGCCGAGATCCAGACGAATAGATCAACACGGTAGGGCACTTGGTTGCACTCTTTTGACAAGTTTTCGCATATAGACAAGCAGATATCGTAGTGATCAATACAGTGCTGACTTCTATGTTCTTCGCTGCAGTAGAAAATCATGCGGCAGTTTTCACACGGTAGCAACTCGCTGTTGCCTCCTGTAGTCGCTTTACTTCGCTTACACACGTGACAAAGATTCGGATTAAAGAATTTATTATAATACTGATTCGTGCATGGACCTGTGTATAAGTACAATGCTTCTTGGGGGTCCATACTAATATGTCTGATGAAGTGCTTGGGAGTATTTTGGACGATATTATCTTAGAAATATAATGTTCTATCTTGTAGATAGAAACTAATAGAATTCTCTGAACAAAAGTTTACAGCTGTACTATTGCTCCGAGGACGTTAAGAAGGTATTTATATCTGAAAGACTCGGAGATTATTGACAATTTCAAACGTAATTGAAGTTATAACGAGCGTTCGGAATGTCAAATTCAACACAACGAGTAAACTTGAAATATACGGCGCGAGGGGCACATATATAGTATTATGTTATTATAAGGATTCATTATCATATACATATATATATTGTTAAGTAACTCTTGGAACAATTGCCATGTATCTTATAAATATTTATCGTTGTGCGTATTATTAGGTGAAATTTATTGAACTAATCGTGATACGTGACGGATTTTATACGCTTCTATGTAAAGCAATCTAATATTTATAATCCGTAAATTTCAATTTTTTCTCAGGAATCTTGAAATTTCTATATGTAAGAACTTTCTATATGTAAGAACTATTTTTATTTCTATACATAGTAAAAAATTTGGTGTCTAAATGTTAAAATTTTCTTGTGTTACCAACTTTTAATTATTATTTCAATATGAAATTAACACAGAGCTGATATGTTACCATTTTCGCGATGTTTTCATGTGTTATATTTATATCAGTTTAGTAACTTAACATATTGTGTTTGTTATCTCAATATTTTGCGTTAAATCGATATTTAACATATATAAGTGTTAACATATTTTATACTTCAGTGTTGATTAACAAATATATTAATTAACAAATATTGAATATTGGTGACAATTTTATATGTTAAGATTTACAGACAAATTAATCTAACCCACAATAAGTTAACATCTTAAAACTTAGGCAATACGAAATACACGTGTAGCTAAAATATAGTAGTGGTGTAGCAATTAAGGTAGGTGACTCAAAATTTAAAGTTCCCGAGTTCAAGTCCCATCAGTGCAGTGAGCACATTTATTAAAAAGGATAGTATTGAATCTTTACTAAATAACACAAAAAGATCTCAGATCATTGATGACATCTTAAGAACGCGATTAAAAAAAAAGTAATAAATAAATTGTTTTAGCGTTCGTTATATTTAACATTATAAATATGTCAATTTAATGTCAAATGTTACTATTACAAGTAAAATTTAAGTAAAAATAACTAATATCTTGTTTTAGAAGAAAATGTGTTAGTATCAATTCATTAACATTTTTAATTTGTGGACAAGTAACACACGACAAATGAATTATTTCGACGTAAAATGTAGAGTAGACTTTCAATATGTGAAAAATGTTAAGTTTAACATTTCATTTTTTACTATGTAAGAGCGAAATTATTAGGATAATTTAAGTATAGCTCGATATGCTAATATAAAAATAATCATTTCGTATTAACTGATTCGTATGGCAATATTTGATTCATTAAATGAACTTGTTGAATGTTTCTTTCAATCACATCGCAATTAAATTAAGAATAATGTACAAATGAGATCTATCTAATTTTTACTAGTGACGTTCGCAATTATATGTCAAAAGTAGTCATATGTCAAGTTCATGATTATAAAAATTATACGGAACCAATTGATCTTATATTTTTTCTTCTTTTACAATAATGTCACCAAATTGATGATACAATCATAAAGAAGAGTTACTGACTCCATTCGGGTGATGTAACGTCTCGTAAACCACCACGTATTGATTACGATAACTCACGCAATCGTACTGCAAATCTTTGTACGGCCTGCAAGCAGTAAATTTATTTTCCTTCATAAAATCAGGCCTCAGAGTTATACCCAGAACATTTCTTATCGTAGTTATGTCATCTTGCATGTTACGCAGTGATGTAGCAGTTAATATTAACGGACAGTTTTGATCCTGTAACTTCCTTAAAGACGCTAGCCATGTCTCCTTGTCGTCGAGTTCCGCTTGAAAACCCACAATGATATCCGGTTTCCTGTACACCTCATTGATCGCGTAGTCGTGGTACAGCATCGGATAACATTCATAGCGAAGGATTCGTCTATGTAATTGGCAAGCTCTGCATATGTTTACATTATCATAATCGAGCGTTAATTCCGGGCCGATCATAACGATCAGCAGTACTCGTGTTTTAGTCGCAAAGTGCAGAAACAATTCCCAAGCTGCCACACCGTCTTTGTCGACGGCGCTCGCAGCTATGACGTGAACAGTGAAGACGTCGCTTCTGTTCGTATTCAGAAGATTTAATAATTTCGTCTCCCACATGGCATAATGGAGCGTCAGCGGGCCCGATATGTAATCGGTGTAGATGAAGTCGGTATCGATCCACTCCCGACCTGTTCCCATCAGTTTTCTCGCCGGCAGCACATAGCCTGAGACAAATGAAACCGTGTCATGATAAGGTATCGATTGATTAGGAATGTTATTGAATTGCAGCTGTAGACAATTCGCGGAGGTTCGGAGGACCGCGATATTCAGATTGAGCAACAGTAGTAGCTCCTCGCAACTGGACAAATCATGCTGCCGGCGAAACTCTTCCGCGTGCTCGTTACAAAACTCGGCGGAACAGCAGTGCTCGCAGGTCCGCAGTTCAGCCTGTTGATGACAGATCAGGCACGATCTTCGGCAGATGAGCATCTGCATCTCGTTCGTCAGCAGTTCGCGATTCAAATCCTTCTGGACTAATTCGATGAGGAATTTTCTCAGCGCTAACCATTCGGCCGATTTATAGCGATTATTGTTGTCTTGCGGCCTTTTTACGAGATACTTCGCTATTGATTTGCAGATATTCATGTGTTCCAGCCAGTGCTGCATTTTGTGCTTCTCGCTGCAGTAAGAAATCATGTAACACTGATTGCATACTATCAACCTGCCCGCGAATCTTCGTTTACAAACGTGACAAAGATTTGGATTGAAAAACTCGTTGTAACCAGCGGCCATCGGTGGTTCGTGTTCACGATAAGCTCGGTGCATTGGAATCGTCTTAACTTGTTCTTTTAACGAAGTTTACGAATATTTTGTCTGCGATATTATTTTCGGGATAATAAATAGAGTACACTGCAGTGAAGATGACAAAGACCTGTGCGCGAATCAGCTTGAGTTGTCTATACGACGATTGCTCGGAGGATACTGAGAAAGTATTTACATAGGTTTATGAAGGTATCTCGGAAAGTGTTGACGATTTTAAATGTATCCGGACACATAACGAGCAACACAAATGCCATCTACCACGTTCAATATCGTGAATAAATTTGAGAAATGTACACCATATTATATTATATTTTATTTTACATACATTATGTTTTCATAAAATATTTATATTAATTTGTATTATTAAATAAATCTTGTTGGTATAATTTCAATTATTTAAATTTTAATTCATTTCATAACTGATCACTATGTGTGTCATCTTTTGATAAACATAGTGAAAGTTTCAGTCATTTGGATATAGCTGTTATAATACTGCTAAATTATAGAAGTGTTGTAGAGCTTTCCCAAAACGCTCCAATTTGATTTTACTGCGGAGGAATCTTTATTCTTTGTTTAATCGTTTGATAAAACTTATGGATGGACCCTCTTGTTTTTTCATATTTGGATAACTTATAAATTGATGATTGAAGATTGACCTACAATAATTTATGCACGTCTATTTATAGATTTATTTTATTGTTTTTATTCACAAATGTTTATAACCAACTTAAATTTATACGGAGAAAAATAGCGAATGATAATTACCGTTAACAAATACTTTTGCTGTTCATATAGTAATTAGACAGACTTGACTGCAACAGCATAAAATTTATTGTGCCAGCAAATTATCTTCCTCCGTGTGTGGAATCGGCAAAATTTATATATCCGAGATATATTTAATTTATATTATTATATAAATTAAATAATTAAAATTTTCTCGCATACTCCCTCAAAGTCTCCATCTCCTATTTGCCAATATTACGTATCTCTTCGTAAAACTTGTCTTATACATTTCGAGCAGCGGATCGACGCGAGACCAGAGATTACGCAACAACGTCCGGCAACGTTTAATTATAATTTTCACCTGTGCCGGTGTCTTCTTTATCATTTCACTCGCGCCGACGCGACGAACATCCGAAATATGCTCTCGGCGTTTGTTTTCTTTCCTCCTCTTTTTTATTATTCTCTCCTCGCGTTTGACGCGCCGCATATTAACGTCGATAGTCGATTGCTAATTACAGGGCTCTGCGGGAGGGCGAGCGAAATCATAGGGTTAAGGAAGAACACCCTTAATGGGCACTCCGAGGCCGCGCGGGAACCAAACGGGCCCCTTCCGGAGAAGGGGGCCCCAGCTGCTTCTAATTGAGACATCAGTGTCGATATAAACCGGCCGCCCGGCGTGCCGTGAACCGACGCGTGAAACGCAAAGGCATGCTCTCTTCCTTCTCCTTCTCCGTCCCTCCCACACTGTACACGCACGCAAATAGTATCGTCAATACTGTATATCTGTGTGTGTGTGTGTGTGTGTGTGTGTGTGTAAACACCGATACGATACTTTATATGATGATTCCAATATTAAGATATAAATTGTTTCATGTGTCAATAAAAGTACACTGATAAAAAATATATTTAAAGAATAGAAAATTTATTCGGTGTATATTACTAACATATTTGTACTATTATGTGTACTATAATATGTACATACATATATATAATATACGTATACGTAATATATATAATATAATATATTTTTATACTATTCATACATATTTTTGTGCTAAGAAAAAATTATTACAAAAAAAATATATATCTTCTTAAATCTGTAACTTCGTGCGAAAACAATTACTTATTTTATTTAAATAGAAAAATTTGAAGATTTAAATAAATATGTTATTAGTGCTCATCAAAAAATATTTTTTATTTTTGACGAGAAGATGTTTCTTCTCTGTGCGATTTCAACGCACATAGAAACACGCTAACATACTTCGCTTTAATTGTATACAAACCAATTTCCCTCTAAAATCCCAATCAATTTGAACAACAAACATAGTAGTTTCGTAAACCCGCAATTGTACTTACTGTAATGCTCTTAGAGAACCAAGTCCTAGAACGACAATAAACACACATCTCTCTCTCTCTCTCTCTCTCTCCCTCTCTCTCTCTCTATCTATCTATTTATACATGGTGATTCTAGTAATACAAACTTGTAGAAAAGTTCATTGGGTTTGTAGTGATGTTTCTTTCATTAATACTAACAAAGTATATAATGTCATATTTCATCAAAGTATCTATTACAGTTACGCATTATTTTCAGCCACCTTACAGATTCTCCCATTCCACATCTGTTTATAAGTCAAATAAACACGAAAGTTAGATAAGAAGTTTTTCAGTAGTTGGAATGCGACCTTACGGATGGTTCTCCCATTCCACGTCTGTTTGTAAGTCAAATAAACACACAAAAGTTAGATAAGAAGCTTTTCAGTAGTTAGAATGCGACATTCGTAGACTCTAATACATAAATAACATACAAATGTAATTCCGATATTGGGAACACACGTGCATGTTTTGATCCCCATTGGGATCTCCTCTGTCCCGTTGACAGTTTGTCACTTATGACCGGCTCAGGGATCCGGAGGCGAAGTGCTCGTGTTTTCTGTCGGATCGCCCAGTGTACGATATTCACGGCGGTCTTTGTGATCGATCCGGAGGCGACCGGAAACGCGGGTCTCGCCGCTTCGCACCGTTGCCGACCCATTTCCTGTGCGCGCCGGGCTCGGCTATTTTACCCAGTCGATAGTTATCCAACTAACGACTCTTAATTTCGAAACGCATGCGCCAATCATTCCGCAAGTGGAAGTTCTCAATCGACTGTGCGTCAGGCATTATTTGCGATAGAGCTCGTTATCCCTCACTTGTTTTATTCTCTCTCTCTCTCTCTCTTGCTCTCGTTCTCTTTTTGCACACGAAAGTAATTAGCGCGCGGCATTCACATATCGCGCGTTTTAATATTCTGGCACGTGTGTGGTACATCGTTATGGAGGTGCGTACACGAACACTAGGTTAGCGCAACAGTTCCGACATGCAACACGCTAACATTTCTACGTGTTACGTGAAAGTTGAAAATTGCTCTTTGTAGTCACAGTAAGTTTAAATTATTGTCGAGCCTTTAATCGAGGGGGAAACAAACGTAAGCGTGAAACTCGTCGAGTACTCGGCGTGAAGCTTCATTCGGCGAAGAGAGGAAAGGAAGATCCGGTGGCGTGAGTGGTTTTTTTTTTGCGTGGCAACGAATCAAGGCTTGTGTCCCGATGTACAGCGTGTCGGTGCGATGCATGAGAATCCCTGCCACGGAGTGCGCGGTATTATAAGCAGGAACGCGAGATCGGACGGAGGGCGTGGCGGGGTTGGCTTATCGCGAGATTGGTAAACACGGAGAAATTATACATAATTAACGTGTATCGTATAATTAGTGGATGCGATACGGCATGTACGCTCAACGCGATCATGATCTGATTATTTTAGCATTATGCAATGCATAGAACGTATCGGCGGCTTCCCGGCTCGCGGCTACGCAGATTTCAAACTCGCCCGGCGGTTTGTTTAGGTTCAGATGGAAGTTCCAAGGTATAAATAGAGAGAAGCGCAATGTGGAAAATCAATTTTCACCGACTGTCCGAACTGCATAACTTATGTGCCATTTTCTGCGCGTTTCAATATGGTTACTGTTCGATGATTGTGAGATTAATCCCTTGCAACCTAACTTTCCTTCCTTGCTTCATCTTCCCTCTCCCACTCCCTTTCTCGCTTGCTCCAAGCATCGCCGTGCAAAGGAAACGCCGGGCTTTCGATATATCGAATTCTCACTTGCGCTTTTCTATTCGTATATCCAGGACTTTAGGTTCATTCAGCGTCTTCTTTCAATTTGCGATGAATGATTCCACCGCGCGTCCCTCCTCCCGTTTCTTCCTCCTCGTTCGTCGTTCGTCGCATATTTTATCTCCTTCTCGTGTTCTCCGTTTATCGCCTCGATCACTCCTAATGGGAAATCCTCAGCGCGGTCCCGCCTTCGTTCGAAGATAACATCGTGAAGAAATTGAAGTATGGCCTTCCCTTAATATCGCGTTATTAAGTCAGGAGACAAGATACGGATCTCCCGGCCGCCAGTTCGGCCAAGAAATTTCGGCAATATACACGAGCAACGTGAGGGGAAACGACGGACGCAGGGTGCAGGGGGTGTCCGACTAATTCTTACTAATAACTTAACTTCGCAGCCCCTTTCCTGCCGAGCGGACAGCAGCTGTCAGAGCAGCCGAAAGTTCGGCTAGTCGTGTGGTGCCTATCGTCGTCAGAGTCGTGACATTGGTTGCTCATATCCGGCGTCAAACTGCGCGGAACACTCCCGAAGGGTCGCGAGGGCGCGCGTTGCTTGGTGCAGGATATTGAGGTCCGCTAATAACGTTTCCCCCTGGTGAAAAATATTTGACGATCGGCCTGGCGGCCGTCCGTCGCCGATCAAATGCGCGCGCTCTCGCCGACAGCGCGAAACGCCCGCGACCGCGGAAATAATATAATTTTTAATTAATAAAATTCTCTCTCAATGAATCACGGGCTTCCCTAACGAGAACGCGCCGGCGACGCGACGTATTGAACCGCCGGCGAATTGTATCCCGCGGGAACACAAAGGGTCGACGGGTCATTGCGCGGCTGCTAATTAAAAATTCAACGGGTTCGACACCGAGAGAGAGAGAGAGAGAGAGAGAGAGAGAGATCGGGCTAATTATCGAGCTGTTTAGCCCCCGACGATGTACAGGTCGTTCGTTTGGTTCACGTCGTGTCGATCGTTAACAATGCCATTTCCGTGTTTGCTACAGTATGACGCTTACTATTGAAAAGTTAGATCAGCGTAAGGGTTTAACTTACAAAATTCTCTCTTCGACCGCAATCACGATGTATCCGCATAAAAATCATAA